AATTACTTTATCTCTGTACAGAGCAGCAGCTTTAGTATTGTACTTCCTGGAAATAGGCATTGAGTCGTCCCAGTCGGATTGATCCTCGAAGAAGAGCCTTGCATTTCTGTTTCCCCCGACTTTCATCTTCTCGAGCTCGAGATCCTTCCATTTGTCCATCGATATGGACCTAACGAATGACAGATGAACCCCCAAACCCCTGTGTTTCCCCGAGCACTCGAGACAGATCCATATCCCATAGGTGACAGACACCCACTGGGGATTGTGAGCACCGCATTCGAAACATTTCTGAAAATAATTACCAAGCTTAAACTGAAGAAGAGAGACAGAAGCTGAAACAGCTGGGAATGAAGGGATTGACGTGAGAACTTACGGTGTTCTCGTTGTTGGGCTTGAGATCACCCAGAACTCTCCTCGTTCGAGGACTCGCCATGATTCCACACTAACTCAATTTAATTGCTCAATTAGTCGGTGAGACACCTGCCAAAGTGTCAATGATGTAAAAAAAAAAATAAAAAAAATAGTCTACTTTGGCAAGCAGCTCAGGAGACCCTTTGAATTTATTCGAGGTTGGGAATTCACTGTCCACGTTCACAAGTCGCCATTTTTTTCGTGACATTTCGTGGTCACGTGGTCGTGCAGATGTCGCAATAGAGGTTTTGACAGAATGTTCAAAATCCCAGGTGTTACGCTTTTCGGTGAAACATCAAATTACCAATTGCAGTTGAATAGGTGCATATAATGAATTTTCCTTATTCTCAGTAAAAATAATCGATGCATTGAAAGAAACAATGATTTTATTGATTGAGATGTTTTAGGCAGTTTTATCTGGTTTTATATTAAAGAAAATGAAAACAGGAATTTTCGCTTTTCATTCTGTTTGAGTTTATCACTTTTGATTTATTTTCGAAAAATTGGAATAATTCATTTTTTTTGCTGAATTCTTCATATACATTTGATAATTTGAAGCCAGAAAATTACTTTAAATGACCAAGGCAAAAAATATTAATATTTTTTACGATAACCACGAACTCACGTTCAAAAATGGTTGATGGATTAATAAAATAAAATTTTTGAAAATAGTCTATTGGGTGGTAATAATTTGAAAAAATGGAGGCAATAAATGGTGACATCCGGTTGGACGAAAGGGGATTCACTAAAGTAGAGGCTCAGTCAAAGAGGATTGACCAAAGTAGAGGCTCAGTTCTGGGGGTTTGAGTGACCCCAGCGGCATCGTAGTAGCCGACCCCATAAGAGGGAGGGCACCACACGCAACGCTGGGGTATCTGTCGTTAGCCGACTCAGCGACTTTTCAGTAGTATCCCTCCAGCTTCCCTTTTAATAACTCTGAGCTCTTCGATGCCTCAGAT